GGGTCAGCCTCTCTGCTCCTATGATGCTGCTTGGCCTGCTGTGTTCATCCAGCCCTGCACCTTGTTGTCTCGGATTCTCCAGCATCTGCAGTTCCTACTACCTCTTCTTAATGACTTACTTTGATTCCATATGTCCTAATGTTCTTAAAATTAACACATTTATCTGCACCCATAAATCCCTCTGCCCTGTCCCTCTACAAGTTCTACATACCAATTCCATGTCCTTGTGTAAAGTTATCAGAGAAAAGCTCAATTTTATGCATCTAGTTTTATGCCATGGAGATGTGTGCTTAAAATCACTTTATAAAAGAATAAAAATTATGGTGTTATTAGACAAAGAAAAACTTTCCTCTTGCCAAAATATCGAAGGAACTACGTTAGCAGTTCTATTCCCATTCTCTGGAAATTTAAATGTGATCGTAGAATGACCGGGAGGAGTCTGCAGTAGGCCAGGATCTCTGTGAAGCAGGCGGGAATGGTATGCAGTAAATCAGAATCATCGTGAAGCAGAGTGAGAGGAGTGTGCAATAGATCAGAATCATTGTGTATATCTGGTTTTCAGGTAACACATTTATAGGCATAGTCATCCCACAGCTTAAGAGTATACAGGGAGAAAGAGAATGGGTGACCACTAGGCAGTCAAAAGAAATACATAATTACTGCAGGAGTCCCCTGCATCCCTTGTCCATACAGTATTCCTTTGTGAACACTTTGAAAATGGTGCTTTGTCTGGAATGTGCAGCCAGAGTCAAATTCATTGCATTGTGGATGTCTTAGCTGTGCATTGGTCATGAATACAACAGGAAATGCAATCGTCATAGGTGTTGGGGGAAAACTGGCTGGCAGTTCTGCAGTCACAGACATGAAAGAGGATGATATTTTGCCTCCTTGGTGCCATGGTGAAAATGTAAATGAATGGCTGCAAAGCAACCTGAGAGGGAACAGTGAACTGTCATGGTCCATATCAGTATCAATAATGTAGGCAAAAGGAGAGATGTGATTCTAGTGGTCAAAATTTAAGGATCAAGGTCAGACATTGCAGCAATCTCCCGATTACTTCCAATACATGCAAATGAGAATAGAATAAGAGGATTGAGCAGATGTATGTGTGGCTGGAAAGATGTTGCAAGGAATGTATTGTAATTCTTGAAAGAATAGGAATGACTTCGGGGACATGGGACATGCACAGGTTGGATGGGCTGCACCTATACAAACTTCCAGGACCAGTTTTCTGGTGGGGTGATTTGCTGGTGCAACAGCAAAAGTTTAAACAAAACCTGGCAGGGGTATAGGAACCAGTGGATGAATAATAGTTGAGAAGAACACCCAAGGGGTAAAGAATACTGGGAGAGATGGATATGACTACAGCAAGAAATAAGTAAGTTATTAGCTGGGATCAGTGTAAGACAGAAAGTAATAAAAACTAAATTAGGGTTATTATGCATACATGGGAAAGCATGGAGTGCAGTATTGGTGAGTCGCAGATACACAGGTGGACATCTTATGTTATCATCCTAACAGAAACCTGGCTGAAAGAAGTGCAGGACTGGGTATTAAATATTCACAGATACAAGATGTATAGGAAGGATAAAAAGGAAAGGTCTGGCAGAAGGTTTGGGTTTTTGAGACTTTGGTCCCACTGCACACTCCCCTCTCCCAATTTACAGCCATTCAGGTAGTAACCTGCCTTCTTGTTTGGGAATACAAAGAAGGCACAAAATGATAGAGACAGGTTAAGTCAGTGGGTAAAACATTGGCAGATGAATATGACATAGCAACCTCTGAGGTTGTCCACTTTGACTGGAAGTACAAAAAATCTGAATATTAAATGAGAGAGATTGCAGAATGCCACAACGGAGGAGTTTTTACATGTCCTTGTATGTGAATCACAGAAAAGCATTCGGGGTACAGCAAGTAGAGGACAAGTAAAGGGTTGGCATTTATTGCAAGCGTGATGGAGTATAAAGGCAGTGTAGGCTACAACCATGTATTGGTGAGAGCACACCTGGAATACTGTGTTCCGTTTGGGTCCGGATAGATTTGTATTGGAAACAGTTCTGTCCAGACGAGGATGAAAGGATTGCCAAATGAGAAAAGGTCGAATATGTTAAGGCTCATTGAAATTTAGAAGAATGAGAGGTGAGAAATCATGAGGAATCTGGTCACAGTAGATAGGAAGACACTCTTCCCATTATCGAGAGGATCAAGAACAGATCAAGATCAAGAACGGGGGCACAGATTTAGCGAAACGAAATAATGGCAACAGTGCACGCCACCATACACAGCAAGTAATTAAGATGCGGAACAGACTGCCTGAAAGTGTGAAGGGTGGCAGGATCAATCAATCCTGCCATGATCTGAGGAGGTCGAGCAGGAATGTGTGCGACGGATGAGTAGCACAAGCTAACGGAGCGAACTGAATGGCCACCTTCTGCGCTGTTACACTTGGGAGCTTGGGCCCAATAGTGCCGCCTAACGGAGCCGGAGAAACGGAGGAAATCCTGACGATAAAGATATTTACTATTACAGCTGAGGCGGCCACGTTCACTGTAGCGGATCGACGCTGTTACTGCAGCAACAGCAAAAAATACACTGGCTGGAAGTTGGCCAAGCAATGCTGCTTGGCCTGCTGTGTTCATCCAGCCCTGCACCTTGTTGTCTCGGATTCTCCAGCATCTGCAGTTCCTACTATCACTGGCTGGAAGTTTCTGACTTTACTAAAAGAATGAAGAGATAGATCTGCGCTGATACAGCAGAGAGATCACACTGCAGCTCCCACACACACACACACACATATATATATATATTCAATTACCAAGACTTTCAAAACTAACAGCTACCATGTAGGTATGTAACGTAACAGATTGTGATGGTCAGGGCGAGAGAAAGTCAGCCGCCAGCTACAAGCGGCTTCACAAAGCAGAGGAAACGCGGTTGAACATTGAGCTGGCTGCCGGGGTCCCAGGCTACCGCTGGCCCATTCTCCACTCGCCATTCACCGACGCTGCAGGCCATATGTGCCGCTGGGGCTGCACTGAAGTCAACACGGTAATCCCGTTTTAATATGGCTTTACACCGGGCAGTACTCACCAGGAAGACAAATACAAGAGAGTGCTCGTTTCTGTAATGGTTTAAAATCTGAAGGAAGTGACAGGATGATAGCCGTGTGTAAGAATTGTACACAGTATAGGGAAAGGGGTAATATACTGCTAATGGAATGAGGAGCATATATGCTACAGGAGAGGGTTATTAATTCTGTACACGGTTGAAGAGAAGGGATTAATAAACCCCGCAAGAGAAAATTAGATTACTTTTAATAATATAGGAGAGATGTTCGATGCAAAATCATAGAAAAAACGTGGCGCTGAATGTATAATTGTAGCGCAGAGGACATTTTGAGCATCTCAGTGCAGTAGGAATGTTGGAGATAGGGAACATTACCCAACCACAGATTTACAAGGGAGAGAACGGAACTGAGAGTAACTAGTGTGGTGCCACAGGGATCAGTGCTGGGACCCCAACTATTCACAATATATATTAATGATTTGGATGAGGGAACAAAATGTAACATCTCAAAGTTTGCAGATGATACCAAATTGGCACGGTGAACTGTGATGAGGATGAGGATATCCTTCAGCATGATCTCGAAGATTGAGTGAGTGGGCAAATCAATGGCAGATGCAGTATAATTTGGATAAAGTTGAGGTTATTCACTTCGGAAGCAAAAACAAGAAGGCAGATTACTACCCGAATGGCTGTAAATTGGGAGAGGGCAGTGTGCAGTGGGACCTGGGTGTCCTTGTGGACCAGTCACAGAAGGTAAGCATGCAGGTGCAGCAGGTGGTAAAGAAGGTAAATGGTATGTTGGCCTTCATTGCGAGAGGTTTTGAGTACAGGAGCAGAGATGTGTTGTTGCAGTTATACAGGGCCTTGGTGAGACCACACCTGGAAAATTGTGTGCAGTTTTGGTCCCCTTTTCTGAGGAAAGATGCTCTTGCTCTTGAGGGAGTGCAGCGAAGATTTACCAGGCTGATTCTGGGGATAGCGGGACTGACATGAGGAGAGATTGACTAGGTTAGGATTGTTTTCACTGGAGTTCAGACAAATGAGGGGGGAGTCTCATAGAGACTTATAAAATTCTAACAGGACCTGACAGGGGAGATGCAGGGAGGATATTCCCGATGGTGGGAGGGGTCACAGTCTGAGGATTCGGGTAGTCCATTTAGGACGGAGATGAGGAGACATTTCTTCACTCAAAGAATGGTGAGCCTGTGGAATTCATTAACTCAGGAAGTAGTTGTATTCAAGAAGTGACTAGATATAGCACTGGGGCCAGATGGGATCAAACGTTATGGGGAGAAAGCAGGATTAGGCTATTGAGTTGGATGATCAGCTATCATTGTGATGAATGGCAGAGCAGGCTCATAGGGCCAAATGGCCTCCTCCTGCTCCTATCTTCTATATTTCTATACACTTTAATTCGAGACATGGAAACCTGGGAAAGTATTCACTGGTGCCAAGATTGTTAGTAAGAATCAAGTAGAAGTGTTTTTCAATGTTTTGATGAAGCTTCAAAGGGCATATATCAAACAGTATATTCACTGATTGGTAGATTTGTAACAAGGCACGGATATAAACATAGGACTAAAAGTGATTAGAGTGCATTCAGTATGATTATTGAAGATCACGGTGGCTCAGTGGTTAGCACTGCTGCCTCACAGCACAGGGACCCTGGTTCAATCCCACCCTCGGTCGACTGTGTGGAGTTTGTATGTTATCTCCTTATCTGCCTAAGTTTCCTCCGGGTGCTCGGTTTCCTCCCACAGATGTGCAGGCTAGGTGGATTGGCCATGCTAAATTGCCCATAGTGTTCAGGGATGTGTAGGTTAGGTGGATTAGCCATGGGAAATGCAGGGTTACAGGGATAGGGTAGGGAGGTGAGTCTGGTTGGGCTGCTCTTTAGATAGTCACTTGTTGGGCCCAATGGCCTATTTCCACACTGTAGGGATTCTATGGATCAGTCAATGATCATAATTAATGAATTGGATAATAATTGATGAGGCTAAATAGTGAAGAGAAAAAGCAGAGTTGGATTAGGAAAGCTAGAATGACGGGAGATATCACTGATAGAAATATTATGAATCAAATAGCCTTCATGTGCATGAAAATTACAGTGATTCTATAACTGTGAAGGATTAATAGTATAATACACTACAGAAAAGAGAATGATGGTTTAATAAACTATGGAATGAGAGGCTGAACGCCTGCACAAATAGACTGACGGAAATGGTCCCATTCATGACAAACTGAGAGAGGGTAATAGTCCGGTGTACCTCACATGTGAAAGTGTAATGGTTCTGTGCCCTATGAACTTGATAGGGTCGCAGTTCCATACAGTATGACATGAAAGAAAGTAATCATCTCTAATGGAATGAGAGGAGTTAATAGACCTGTACCATATGGGCTGAGATATAGATAGGAACCTGAAAATACTATATGTCAAAGAGGGAAATATTTCTCTACATTATTGATGGAGGGAGAGAGAGAGAGGTGGGGGGCAGTATTTGGTGTGACGTTATGGGAGTAGACAGATAATAATCTTTGAGATTTTGAAAATAATTAAGACTTTTATACATGATGGATAAAGTAGCAGTTAATAAAGAACAAAAAACAGTACAGCACAGAAACAGGCCCTTCGGCCCACCAAGACTGCACAGACACAATGCCTTTCTAAACTCAAAACTTTTGCCCCTAGGCAGTCCGCATCCCTCTATTCCCTGCCTGTTCGTTCATTTTTCAAGATGCCTCTGAAACATTGCTATTGTATCTGCCTAGGCTACCTCCTCTGGCAGCGCATTCCAGGTATTTACCAACCTCTGTGTACATTGCCTCTCACATCTCCTTTAAACTTATCCCTTTTTACCTCAAACCTATGTCCCCTGGTAATTGGCATTTCTACCCTGGGGGAAAAAGACTCTAACAATCCATTCTGTCCAAACCTCTCATAATTTTTTAAACTTCTTTCAGGTAGTCCTTCATTATTCGATGTTGACATGAAAATAAATCAAGTTTGTCCAATCTGTCCTCATCGCTAATATCCTCCAAACCAGGCAACATCCTAGTAAACCGTTCCTGCATCCTCTCCAATTACTTCACATTCTTTTGGTAGTGTGGTGACTAAAATTGTACATAATATTCCAAATGTGTTGGAAATAAAGTGCTATACAGCTGCAATATGACATGCCAATTTTTATACTCTATGCCCTGACTGATGAAGGCAAACATGCCATATGTCTTCTTGACCAACTTATCCACTTGTGTTGCCACTTTCAGGGAACTGTGGACCTGTGTGCCTAGATCCCCCTGTATATTGATGTAGCTAGTACTCTGCCATTTATGTATACTTCCCTCCTGCATTAGAAGTTCCAAAATACATCACCTCATATTTGTCCAGATTAAATGTCATCTGCAATTTCTCCACCCAAGTCTCCAGCTTATCTATACCTTGCTGTATCCTCTGGCAATCCTCCTCGCAATCCATAGCTCCCCAATCTTTGTGTTGTCTGCAACTAATCAGACCATTTACATTTTCCTCCACATCATTTATACATGTTACAAACAGCAGGGGTCCCAGCACTGATGCCTGTGGAACACCACTGGTCACAGATCTCCAGTCAGAAAAGCACCCTTCTACTGTTACTGTTTGTCTTCTATGACCAAGCCAGTTCTGTGTCCATCTTACCATCCCACCATGGATCCATGTGACTTCACCTTTGTTATCAGTCTGCCATGAGGGACTTTGTCAAAGGTCTTACTAAAGTCCATATGGACAACATCTACCACCCAGCCCGCATCAATCATCTTTATCACTTCCTCAAAAAACTCAAATCAGATTTCTGAGGCATGAACTTCCCTGCACAAAGGCATGCAGCCTATTTGCTAATAAGTCCACTTTTTTCCAAATGTCAGTAAATCCAACCTTGAAGAATGTTTTCCAATAATTTCCCTACCATTGACGCAAGGCTCGCTGGCCTGTAATTTCCCAGATCATTCCTGTTGCCTTGCTTAAACAAAGGAACAATGTTGGCTATTCTCCAGTCCTCTGGGACCCTTCCTGTGACTGAAAGGGAAATAAAGATTTTGTACAAGGCCACAGTAATTTCTTCCTTTGCCTCCATCCACATTCTGGGACCCATCAGGTCCTGGGAACTTGTCTACTCATGCTTTTCAAAATACCCAACATCTTTTTTTATATTTGACATCCTCTAAAATAGCAACATACCCATCCCAAGACTCACTACCCACCATGTCCTTCTCCTTTGTAAATACCAATGCCAAGTATTCATTAAGGACCATACCCACTTCCTCTGGCTCCATGCTTGATAATCTTAAAAACCACATTTGGGGAAAGCAAAATGATTGTTGTACAGTATGGAACATTGGAACTGGTAATAATTCATGAATGTTAACTCAGTCTGTTGTAGAATGCGAAAATGAATTTTATTTGATACTAATGTCTATTATGTATTTTGTAGAAATTGTGTCTTATGTACAGTGTCACATGTTTTTCTTCTCATTCAGGTCTATATGTGTCGATGGTGTGGGACCCGTTACTGTAAGGAATGTGGTAGGGGAGATTTTATTGGCACCATGTCATCACCAGATAAATGCCAAGTATGCTTCCAGGTGAGAAAGACTCAAATATAACTGACAATTCCAGCACAACTACAAGTAAATATTCCATCTCCTAACATGGGCCCAATTTAAAGTAGCAATATAGTTTTATCTGACAACAGGCAATAAATATGTTGGTATCAATGTGGCTTGCAGTGTTTCCTTTGTATTACAGTGTAGATATTTGTGAATGGGTTTCCCATCCGTGGAGCCCATCTTTCACTGCATGTATCAAAATGATTGGTTCTCACCCAGCATTTAGTGCAATGCTGTTGTCAAAAGAGGAGTAATTGCATTATCTATATGTTCCCATGAACGAGTATTAAAAAAAAGTTCCAGTTAGGTCACTTAGAATCACTGATAGTCACCATGTATTTTGGGCACCTGTGTTTTCTTGTCTTTTCTATTTGTTCATAGGATACAGCTAGGCCAGTATAATGCCCCATCCCCAATTGCTCTGGAGAAGGCAGTGGTGAGCTTTGACATTTTTGAACTGCTGCAGTCTGGCATGTAGAGAGATCCACAGTGCTGTATGAAGGGAGTTGATTTTGACTCAGTGACAGTGAAATAACAATGGTGAGTAGCATGGATGTGAACTTGCAGGGCTGGTAATATCAGTATTTTTGTTCTTCGTTATGGTAGAACTCATGGATTTGGAAGGTGCTGTTGGAGGAGCTTTGGTGAATTACTGCACTAGATGGTACACACAGCTGCCACAGTGCATTGGTGGTAAAGGGAGTAAATGTTGAAGATGGTGCATGAGATAGCAGTTGGGACTACTTTGTCCTGAATAGTATCAAGCTTCTTGATTGTTGTTTAAGCTGCACTCATCCAGTGGGAAATATTCCATCATACTCCTGATTCGTGCTTTGTAGCTGGTAGACAGACATTGAGAAGACAGGAGGTGAGTTACTCACTACACAATTCCTAGCCTCTGACGAATTCTCATAGCAACAGAACTTACAGGGCCAGCTCAATTCAGTTTCTGGTCAATGGTAAACCCGAAGACATTGACAATAGGGATTCAGCGATGATAATGCCATCGAACGGCATGGGTGATGGTTAGATTCTTTCTTGTTGGAGATGGTCATCGGCTAGCACTTGTGTGGGATGAATATTACTTGTGTTTCTTAGCCTTGGATGTTGAACAGATCGTACTGAATAGGGACACAAACTACATCAGCATCTGAGGTTTCACAAATGGTGCTGCACATTGTGCAATTATCACAACATCCCCACTTCTGACCTATAAACGAAAGGAAGGTTACTAATGAAGTAGCAAAAGACGTTTAGGTCTAGGATCCGTATGGAACTCCTGTAATGATGTCCTGGGGCTGACATTATTGATCCCCAAACATAACCATCTTCCTTTGTGTCAGGTACGACTAACCAGCCAAGACTTCCCCCCACCCCGCCACCACCGATTCCTGTCAACTCTAATTTTGCAGGGCTTCTCGATGCCACACCCTCTCAAATGCTACCTTGATGTCAAAGCAATAACTCTCACCTCATCTCTGGAGTTTTAGATCTACCTCCAACATTAATGTTTGAAAGTAGACTGACGATGTGGTAATTGGCCGGGATCCTGGATGCAGCCAGTTCTTAAAATGGTCTGTGCCTCTCAAGATGCAGATGAAGTTGAGTCATGACACTTAAATTGGTCATATATCCCAAAGGAGCATGTGCCTATGTAACTAAATTCAGTCAAAAAGTGGCAGGGGTGAAAGCAAATGGGGAACTCACCAATTCTCATCTTAGCTCAACATCTACACCACTCCCATCAGATGGAAAGGTCAAAACTTTGTTTGTAACCTCACACCAGGTTTGTACCTCCTGGCCTTTTCTGATCCAAGGACATTATTCTTGCAGGCTAACTAATGTAAATGAGGTCCATGCAGTGAAATGTCATCCATATACACAACTCATGTTTAATTTTGACTCCCACATCTCCAACTTCTGCTTCAAGATAAATTGGTTCTGAAGTATGGGAGATGCTTCTATTCAAAGTAGGAGGGGAGACAAGAAAATAAAATACAAATACTTTCCAGCTACAGTTTCAGTAATTCTTTTCAAAGAACCACAGTTTAACCATAAAATTTTCTTAATCTGTTTCATAGTGGAAATGCCAGGGCCAGCTGGTTGAAGTTGGACCAAAAGTTAACACATCCGGCAAAGAAAAGGAAAAGAGCACGGAAAAATCAAAGAACGAAAGTCCTCCTTCCAAAAAGAAATCAGCAAAAAAGAAATCAGCAAAAAAGAAAAAAGTAAGAGCACAGTCTAAACAAAGATAGAAGAATCCGAAATTTTAAAAAAAAGGGCTCATAGCAAATTCAACTAATTAGAAAAATGTTATATCGTGGTATTTCATACGATTTCCAACCGAAATAATAGCAGAATCTGGGCAGATTTATTGAAGCAGTACAAGAGGTTATGGCATTTTAAGAGTTAAGTGTTCAAAAACACTTTCTGCTGGAGCTTTTGTGATCTTTTGTGTTGTTTCAGAAGTCCCTTCATCACAAACAGGAATACATAGGGTGTGGACAGCAAACATGATTATCAAATCAAACTAGTGACTCATGAGATGAATAAACTTTGATCTGATGCCCCTGTAATTTTTTATTCACTCAAGAGTATGTAGGAGTTGCTGACTGGACCAGCATTTAATTTCCCATACAAAATTGTCCTGGAAAATGTGGTGGTTGTGTGCTGCCTTGTTGAACTGCTGCAGTCCTTGGGGCACAGGAACACTGACCATGCTGTTAAGAAAGGAATTCCAGGATTTTCACCCAGCATTAGTGAAGAAATGGGGATATGTGGAACTTGCAGGTGGTGGTGTTTCCAGGTACCTGCTGACCGGGGCGGATCATGAGTTTGGAAGGAGCTGTTCAAGGAGTGCATGTTGCAGATGGTACACACTGATGCTATGTGCATGATTAGTGAAGGGTGTGAATTGTGCTGTAACATTCCACAATTGTTATGAAAAACATGACTGTCAATGTGTTCTTATTGCGAACTAGATAGCTACTGGCAAAGCTAATTTCACATAAAATCACAGATAGAGGACTATCAATATACCCATTTGGGCTAGTTTCCAACCTGTAGCTTAATGGTAAAGGCATTTATTTCAACCATACAAATTTAATTTTCAATTTACGTATCAAGCTTTTTTTAAAATTCAACAAAAAAGTTACGTTACAAAGAAGTGGATTTCAAATAGACTCTAATCATGTGAAAATTACTCATTGCAATAATAAGAAAAAGAGATTTACAGAGTTGGCCTGTCTGAGCAGTAAGTTTATTAATATACAGCAGTTTAACTGAATCCCATAAAGTTTTCCACAAACCTACTTTCTGTATTACCATGCTTGGAATCATTGCAGATTAAAATATTAGATGAATGCAATTAATCATTGTAAATCTGTAAGGGGCATATTGTAAGTCAAGATTCTACAAGGCATTTCTTGCACATTATTTAAAGGTATTAAATGGCAACTTAAAAGCCCACCTGCAAAAATCATTAAGGTGTCTACATGTGCAATTCTCTCGAGCACAATTCCATAACGTAGTGACCAAGATCATGAGAAGCCCAGGTTTTGATTTTGGAATATATTCTTTGCAAATAACAATATACATATAAAAATGTTTAATTACAAATTTGCTTGAAAGCAGCTTGTGTTAAGTAGCAGGAATCTGAGGCAGGCCAAATTCGTCCACCAATACGCCATCCTGAAAAGACAAACAAGTCTTAGTATTGGTTGTTAACTTAAAATTAATCTTTCCTGCTGACAATTTTAAATACTGTTTATGAAGATACAGAACTGGCCTTAAAGATTATCAGTATTAAATGCAACCTTCAGATGGCAAAGTGGGAGATGTCAATGAATGAATGATTACTCAAAAGGTACAGGTACTGCACCTTGCATGAAGTTAAGTGTTCTTATTGCACCGAAATACGTCACTGTTCACCACAAAATCTGAAGCAGGTAGCTTTTACAACAGTATTGTGTTGGTTGATGGGATCAGGTGCAATAACATCTGTAAATAAGGATCAATGGTGCTAACATATCAAGTATTGGACAGACTCACAACACTAGAAAACAGCAGCTGTTACTATGTTCAGTCCAACATACCTACTACTACAAATTCACAGATCTGAAAGAGAACAAGTTTCACGATAACATTCTGTGATAGCTACTATAAATATACCTTGTTGGTTTTTGCGTCAGTGGGAACACCTTCAGGAATAGATGGTGCAGATGCAGCATCATCTAGATAAGATGAATCTTCATCAGCTAGAAGCTCATCACCCAATGCATCCAGTTCTGAAAGTATTAAAAAAGATAGAATAGTGTTATTAAATGCATATTTCCTTACTTTCATCTATTCTTTGGCTGATGTAAGCATCCAAATGCTTTTCTACAAAACTTTGCAACAAATTGCTTGAAAAACACAAGCACCCCATCATGGCTCAGGGACTGATTTTGCTTCTATTCTGAGACACACAACTGGGCAAAATGACTTTGAACTAGCCAAGGGTGGGATCAAGGAACAAAACACCTCTATAAAGATACAATGCGCAAAAAGGACTGCAACTTAAAATAAAACAGTCAACTAAAATCATTTGCAAGAAGCATCATTTAAGTCTCTTCCCTCCTAGAGGATTTAGGAGAATTTACTTTTAACAGCATAGTCTCAGGAATAAGCCTACCAAATGAACTGAGCAAGTTGTTCATTATGTCTGCATTTTCTTTCATTCATTCATGGGATGTGGCAGAAGAGCATTTGTTGTCCATCTCCAACTGCCATTAAGGTGCTGGCAAGTCGCCTTCTTGAATCAGCTTGTGTGTAACGAAGATACTCGGACAGTGCAGTTAGGGAGGACGTTCAAGGATTTTGACCCAGTGATAGTGAAGGCACAGAATCACGTTCATCAAGTCAGGATGAAACTTGGAAGGGAACTCCAAGGTGACAGCATTCCCATGCATTTTCTGCTTATGACATTCTAGGCCAAAGCTTTCCAAACAGTTTCTCCTACTTTGATACTTTAAAATTGCTAATGACCCCTGAATGAGGGCAGTATTGGAGACCTGCAAAAAGTGAATGGAAAGAGGAAAGATTTACTACAGCAAAAGAGAAAGATTTGCGAAAGTAAAGAGGCAGAAAGAGAGACTTACAAGAGCAAAGGTTGAGAAGGTGAGTGAGGTGGAGTGTGGAGGCATGTGTTTAAACTGCATGTTTTTATTTAAGAGAAACAAAAATCCTTTCACTGGCTTTTTCACAGTCCTCAAGGATTGGTCAGTTAGTTCATGTTCACCACCTTTAAAAAAAAAGAGGATTTAAAAGGGGTCTTGCAACTGTTAGCATTCAGTCCGAGCTCTACACGAGCTATTGCTGCCTTGCAAATTGCAATCCCAAAATCCATCTCAAAACTCCACTGGGAATTGCAACCCATTGTTTGGGAATCCCAGTTCTAGTCTTGGAGGTCATTGGTTTGGAAGGTGCAATTTAAGAAACTTTGGTAAAGTGCGACATTACATTTTATAGATGGTACATAGCAGAGAGTGGTAAGGAAATGAACGTCTACAGTGATGGCAGGTGTCAGTCAAGTAGGCTCTTTGTTATGCAACGTCTGGCTTCTTAATGTTACAGCAATACTCATCCAGGCATGGACAGCATTTCATCACATTACTGACTTGTCTTAGAGATGATGGAAAAGCATTGCAGAGCAAGCAGTTAGGTACTTGCCATGGAATATGAAACCTGACCTGTGCTTTGTATATGGTGGACAAGCTTTGGGGAGTCAGGTAGCGAGTTACTCGCCACAGTATTCCTAGCCTCCGACCTGCTCTTGTGACCCAATGTATTTATATGGCAAGCCCAATTGTGTTTCTGGTCAATGGTAACCCTCAGGATATTGATGGTGGAGGATTCAGTAGTAGTAACACCAATGAACATTAAGGTCAGTGGTTAGATCATCTCTGGAGATGGCATTGCCTGGCATGAATATTGCTTGCCACTTGTAAGCCCAAGCCTGGATATTGTCCAAATCTCGCTGCAGTTGGACATGGCCTGCTTCAGTTTCTGAGGAGTTGAGAATGTGTGATGTTCAACACCAATCATTGGCAAACATCCCCTCTTCCGATCTTTTGATGGAGAGAAGGTCATTGATGAAGCAGCTGAAGATGGTTAGGCCAAGGGCACTACCCAGAGGAACACCTGCAGAGACATCCTGGAGCGGAGATGACTGACCAACAACCACAACTTTATGTGCCAGGTATGACTGCAACCAGCAGATAATTTGCCCCCTGATACCCATTGATTCCAGTTTTGCTAGGGCTCCTTGATGTCACACTGGGTCAAACGCTGCCTTGATATCAAGGGCTGTCACTCTCTCCTCACCAATGGAATTCATCTCTTTTATCCATGTTTGAACCAAGGCTGTAATGAGGTCAGGAACTCAGTGGCTCTGGCTTCACCAAGCAGGTTGTTGCTGAGCAAGTGTGATGATGATACCTTCCAACACTTACTAATGATCAAGAGTAGACTGATGGAGCAGTAACTGGCCAGGATGGATTTGTCTTGCTTTCTGTGTACAGGATTATAATGGGCAATTTTCCACATTTTTGGGTAGATGCCTGTGTTGTAACTGTACTGGAACAGCCTGGCTGGGGAGCGGTGAGTTCTGGAGCACATATGTTCAGTGCTATTGCCAGAATATTGTCAGGGCCTATTACTTTTGTAATATCCAGTGCCTCCAACCGTTTCTTGATATCACATGGGAGTTAATCAAATTGGCTTAAGATTGGCATCTGGACGAAAGAGGCCGATGTGGATCATCTGCTTTGCACTTTTGACTGAAGATTGCTGCAAATGCTTTAGCCTTTACTTTTGCACTAACTTGTTGGGCTCTTCTATCAGTTAAGAAAGGGGATATTTGTGGAGCCTCCTCAGAGTTGTTTAATTGTCCACCACCAATCATGACTGTATGTAGCAAGACTGCAGAGCTTCCACAGCACCTCACGCTCAGTCTTCAGTTGCTAGATCTATTTGAAGTCTGTCGCATTTAGTCACAAAACACAACAGAGGGCATTCTCAATGTGAAGGCAGAATTTCATCTCTAAAGGACTATGGTCACTCTTACCAATACAGTCATGGACAGATGCATCCGATTGGTAAGGATGAGGTCAAGTATATTTTTCCGTATAGTTGCCTCAGCTGCCACAGACCCAGTCCAGCAGCTATGTTCTTTAGCACTCAACCAGCT